ACTGAAAATTGGTGGAAAGAAATATAGGTTTTATTCAAGAGCCAGCAATCCGAGAAGATGGTGGACTGAAGTTACAAAGACGACCTCAAATTCTCAATCCATCATCGAGTTTTTAAAGGGAAATGTGAGAAACATGCAGGAGTGGTACAGGCTCAGCCTTGCCTGTTTTTGTCCTGATGGCTATCTTAAGTCATTGTTGCTCAGAGGTCTGGCTGGCATCATCTTGGCTGCAGCCCAGTAGGGGACTAATCGTGACTCTCTTAAGTGGAAGGATTCCACCATCGGGGTGCCATGCCCAGTTTGTTTCAAGATTAGCCTCTGCAGTTTCTTAAGCAAGGACATAATTGGATAAGCATGCTCAGGCCAGAAGGTCATGGTGTAAGGAAATGCCTCGGGAAGGAAGGAATGAAAGAGTGTGAGGCGAGTGAGAAAAACAGAAGTGGGCATTTAAAAAATATTTTTAAAACTGTGATTCTCAGCTGGGCATGTTGGCACGTGCCTGTAGTTCCAGTTACTTGGAAGGCTGAGGCAGAAGGATCACCTGAGCCTAGCAGGTGGAGGCTGCAGTGGCTGTGAGCGTGCCACTGCACTCCAGCCCGGGCGACAACATGAGGCTCCAACTCAAAAAAACAAAAAACTGTGATTCTTGGTTGGAAGGTGGTAGCTTCGCCCTCCAGGGATGCACAGTCTGAGGGGTCTCATGATGCACCTCTGTTCAGTTCAGAAAGTGCTGGGTGAGAAGCTAGACATTGGCTGAACTAGATCCATACGTTAGACACTATCATAGGACAAATGGCCCACCCACCTCAGAAACACTGACCTGACAGGGTCCACGAATCTTTTTTTTTTTTTAAATGCACGCCTCCAGTGATTCTTAGGCACATTACAATTTGAGAAATGCCTTGAAGGAGCATTTCTTTTTTTTTTGAGTTGGAGTCTCACTCTGTCGCCCAGACTGGAGTGCAGCGGCCGCCTCCGGCCACCGCAGCCTCGACCTGCTGGGCTCCGGCGATCCTCCCACCTCAGCCTTCCGAGTAGCCGGAATTACAGGTGCGTGCTACCACGCCCGGCTGATTTTTTGATTTATTGTAGAGATGAGGTCTCGCGCCCAGGCGGGTCTCGAACCCGCGGGCTCAGGCAATCCACTCACCTCTGCTGCCCAA